ATAAACTCTATTTTATTTGCTTTGCCTATCAATTACTACTTGAAAAATGCTACGCATTGTTTCAAACTACTTAATATTACTCTTTAGGGTGGATGTACTATGCGTTCGCTTTTCGACACTCAACTTGTGAATAAGGTTTTTCTTCTGATCGAAATTATCGGGTACGCAAACTCTTTTGGACGAGCTCACACAAGGAATAATAGCCTTAATTTCTAGCTCTTTCGTGATTCCAACCCTAACAATCGTATACGTTGATGCTTCTGTGCTTTTTGGCCTCTACTTCAAAATGAATATCACAAAACCAGAAGAGCCAGATCTTCGACGCAACGTCTCTCCTCGCTCACAAGTGAGTTGCATTGCTCTTGGAAAATGTTTCCTGATTTTCAGAAAAGCGCAACGAATTGAATGAATTGAACAATGAAGGGGACTTTATGGCAAAATTAATGAAATGTCAAGAGTATTATTTGAAGAAACTGTAAAAACTGAAGGGCAAGACGTGCAAGATTCTAAGAAGAAGGAAATGTTATAGCTGCACCGAAGCCACTTGCCCTGCTCTTTACAGAATACCAGTGCAGAACTAAGTTAAAGATTAAACAGAAGAAGTGAGAGAGAATATGTCAAGACATCCTTAGTCCTTTATTGTTCTCAAAATGCAAGCATTTACAAATATTAAGCTATACTCTTAAAACCTTACAAGCTAATCGCGCGGCTGCTCTCGGTTTTACAAACTTCACTGCAAACAACTTAGGATCTTCCCAGCTCCAAATTAGTTTGTGAGTCCTTTACAGCATGTTATTTTTAGCGCCACTCTTACTATTTATGGAGATGGTTGGTCATTGCGCTCATTGACGTTGGCCTCAATGCACCAGAGAATCTCTCTAGGTTGGCATTGATACTGGGAATCATCGAATATAGCGAAAGCGAGCTGTTCTATATTTATAGAATTATAGCTCAGGTATTACATTTTATTCTTCATAGAGAAATATGGTAGTTGGGAATTCCTTTGAGAGACATCGTTTTAGGTGCCCTACTACCTTCAATTTGGATTTAATGGTGTGTACCTGGCTCTGTTCATTTACGATAAATCAACTCGCCCTGCAAAGAGGAGAGTTTTTGAAAGCGTAAGCATCGATACACATCATCTCTCTGTGAGGGAACGCGAAGCACAAGGTACCTAACTAGTCATTCATCCCGGATATCGCCCTCAATTAAATATTCAGGTCTTGTCGCAGCGGATCAGTCTCTATGCGACTCTGGAATCGAAGACGAGCCATGCCATGTTTAAGGGGGTTAGAAGAAACATGGAAGAAACATATCATTATATGATCTTATTAAATTACGGGGATAACATCTTGTTATGATCTCAATTACTTAATTCGCGGTCATTTTTAAGTTATTAGAGTTAGTTTTGGGTATTTTGCGTGCAAAGTCAAAAGATTAGTAGTAATTGATGAGTCAGTTTATGATGATCTTAGTTAGCAAGATTTGAATAAATATTATTTTATACTATGTCCTCACATACAAAGTGCATATGCTCTCCTCTTTATAGTTGATCTTGTAGAAAATTTGAGGTAAACTGTTTGAAGACTGCCCTATAGGGGTGAACCTGACATGAAGTCAAAAAT